GTGATGATCACTTTATTCTGAGTGGTCCTTTTTAGATTAAATAAAACACTCAACAGACTCTCAGTAACAGCATATGAATGATGTAGCAGCAGTGAATACATTCAGTAGATTACTAAGAGACTTTTAATTAACTGTGTCAATAAAATGTGTTGATGAACTGCTGAATTCCATTATTTTTCACTTTAGTTGGTGACTAAGTTCATATCTGTACGTTGTAGTGACCTGAGATGCCACTGGACATGTAACAGATCTAATACAGACCATCTCAACATCCTCAACAAGCTGTTGTAGACATGCTGTTAACACCATTCCGTAAGTGGGGTTTAACAGGATTAAGTTTGGTTAAGGTTAGGATTGGGCCAGGGTTAGGGTTAGTATTAGGTTTTAGGTTGAGGTTAAGGTTAGGATTAGGGCCAGGGTGAGGTTTAGGATTAGGTTTTGAGTTGAGGTTAAGGTTAGGGTTAAGATTAGGGTCAGTGTTAGGGTTAGGTTTTGGGTAAGGTTAGGTTTTACTTAATGGAAGTAACATATTAATCTACATGTAACATTTCAACAATACATCTACTTTATGTAAGTAATGTAGCAACAGTACATCTACAAGATATTTAACTCAGTGTATTCAGATGCTTCACTACTGCTACTCCACTGATATGTTGTTAATATGTTACTGATACTCTGTTAAGAGTTTATTAATCATCTACAAAGGACCACTCCAAATAAAGTGGTATCGACCTTTTTTGTGTAGTTTTCCAGAGCAGCTCCTGTGCGGTACTAACAATGTGGGGGGGCTACTTTTCTTTAATATAGTGGTAAAAATGTGATTTTGTTTGCTGTTTTATGTTCTAAACCTGCTGAAAAACTGTTTATTTGAAAATAAAGGGAAACAAATGGGCTAATATTCCTGCCTGAAGTGGTTACATGATGGAGCAGAGTTGGAGGCACTGTGGATTGAACATTTGGCATTACTTTGATAAGTATGACTATTTTAACACTGTTAAAAATGCCTCTCAGTTTAACTTAAAAAATAGTTTCATTCAACTTTCAATACTTTGATTGAAACAATGGTTCATGCAAAGTATTAATTTGAGCTCAACATAAGTAGTTCAATTGCTTGTTACCACATCAAGTAATCTTTTTAGGATTCAATGCTTGACGTGCCTCCAGCCACTTTTCCTAAAATTTGTCCTGAGCATTTCATTGGATAACTGAAAGTGCTCCTACATGTGATTTCTTAGGTATCTTTGCTATTTTAACTTCAAGTGGGGCCTTCTGATTAATTATAGCTGAAACCAGCTATAATAGAGTTTCCATTTTGCTGATGAAATTCATTTTAGGCTAAAATTTCTGAATACTATATGAAGATATGAATGCCAACACTTGAGTATTCAGATTGTTCAGGCCAGCTCTACAGCAATGATATCCATATGTGATTCTTTTCTTGTAGTTTGGACAACAGTGCTGCTTTGAGATGTTGTAAGTCTTTCTGTGCTGCAGACTTTATCCCCAGGGCAAACAATATGCTTTGTGTGCCACAAGCCTACCTTCAGGCTGAGACATCCATAGAAGGACTTACATTTCCATACCGCCTCATCCTGTTGCAGCAGAAAGGAAACATTAGTTATGAGTCTCATGATTATACTGATTATAATGAATTTGACACTTGACAGCAAAGGAGTCACTGACTATTTGAAGCTGAGGAAGAACGTTCCTTTGCCCTTCTTTTACGTTCCCCTTGATGCTGCTTGTGCTTTGAAATAAAATTGTTTTTTTTTTTTTCTAGATCAAATACTCAACATTGAACCAATCTGTCTTTGGAAAATACAAAGGTAGTTTTAGGCAATTCAGGTGACATTTCCATACAACTTTTTACCCACATGCCTGGATCACAGTTTTCCTTAGTGTCTCTCTCTTTACCAACAATTAACACAATATGATACACTGTAAAATATGAGAAGCTGAAGTTGCTTATATTGGGTTTGGAAACTCACTGCTTTCAGAAAACTTAATAAACTTTCTCAAATGAAGTTGTGCTCTGTACTGATGGAGTCAAATCTATTTAAGATTTACATACTTAAACCTTAAAAAATGGGATTTGTTCATTGTGAAGAATAACTATTGCCATTGGCATTTTGTATCCAAAAAAAAAAAGAAAAGGAGTAATACTTTGAACTATATGCTGTGCAATGCATACAGCAAGTGCATATTAATCATTCAAATATTAATGTGGAACATGCCACCAGAGATAACACAACATGGTTAACTCATACATTAAGAAAGCTCTCTAATAGCCACAATGCATCAGCTGAGTGCTGCACTGTTCATCATACATTTTTGAGTTAAGAAATATCACCCATTAAGCTTCAGACATAATCAAGAGGTCTTTTTCTTGAAGAGACTCTACACGATGCATCAATAACATAAACTAGAAATGCTTACCTAGTTTGATATGTGCTACTTAAATGAATAAAGACTGTATGAACGTTTAGCATACTATGTACTGTACACTGTATACACACTGTACACTGCATGCTATTCCTTGTAGTAGTGTACAGTATAGTATCAACTTTGTGGGACTTACCATCATGTAGCGTATCTGTGCTACAATGTCACATCCCCCTGAAATGACTCTGTTTCATTATGGGTTGCATATATTACAAAGACAGATGACTACTACTATCTAATACCTTTGGGCACAAGCAGTATGTAAAGGCTTAATGAATAGTTAGGGTAACACTTTATTTTAGGGGGAAGTTACAATGCCCTTGTAATGCCCTTATTAAGCCTTATAAAGCCAATAGCCAGCAATTAAGTGCCCATTGCTACTTTATAAAGCAATAACTAGGGTGTATTAAGTAGTTTTCAGGGGACCTTTGATTCTTTATTATACATCAAAAAGTTTTGCACATCATGAGGTCCAATTATTTGACAATCTGATGGGATTCAATCTAACAAGTATTGACTAGAAACACTAATGTTGATGTTAATGAGCACAGTTAATACAGACTCTAAATTAGGGTAATGCAGTAGAAGTAAACACATTCTTAAGCATAAATATTAACTGGCAATCTTCACTATAGAGTAGGCAGTTTATTTTTATTTAAAGATTATATGTGATTTCCTAAAGTATTGATAAGAACCTTGCAGTGATTTGGTAGTGATAAGAATGAAAAAGCACAAATACAAGCGCTCTGGAAAATGCTTAATTCACTTAATAAAGTATCAGTAGGTAGCCAGTTAATTATCAACTATTGGCTTGATACACCTTTATAAGAGCACTACAAAGGCATTTTATTGCCCCCACCTACAATGACATCATATATAGCTACATTAATTTCTACTGTATTCTTGTTTTTATAAATAAAGCCTAATCAGTTTATGTAGTGACGTTAGCTGTTATTTTACAAACTATTTTTTAAGTTAAACTGAGAAGCATTTTTAACAGTGTTAATATAGTCATACTTATCAAAGTAATGCCAAATGTTCAATCCACAGTGCCTCCAACTCTGCTCCATCATGTAACCACTTCAGGCAGAAAAAAATCCACAGGTGTTTCTGTCCATCCTTCCACTGTGAGAAGACAACTCAACAGTCTGAAGCTATTAAGAAGACACTACTGAGAAAAGCACAGAGACCACCCCAGAGTTCAGACCTCAAAATCACTGACAGTGTTTGTGTGATTATGAGAAAGAGAAAATGCTACCAACTTCTAAGACTCAACTTTGGAGGTGTGGAGAAATATCCTCACAGATTTCTTTCCACTTCCAAAGTGTGGACACACTAAATACTGACAAATTGAAGTTATATTTAGGTGTTGAGACATCTGTGTAATTTTCTGTTAAATATGAATTTTCTTTTTTCCATATGCTAAAAAAAATGGCTGTTTTGATTAGAAAAGAAATGAAGAGTGCTCTTTTTTGCACACTGATGTTTAGGTACATGTTTAAATGCCCCACACAGTTGCAGTGCACTGACATTTCTCAAATTCTCTAGTGCATGGTTGTGTAATAGACAGAGCTGTGAAAACATCAAGTCATATGTCGCTTTGTTTGACATAGCTTAATAAGGCTGAGGTACAAGTTGCCCTCGAGAACCTCAAAGTTCATGACATTTATAACATGGCCTGTTTGTTTCTCGGTATTTACTTTGAAGGTTAAACTGGCCTCTGGCGGTAATTACATTGTTGCTTCTCCCATGATCATATCAAATCAATAGAAGACCTTTAAGGAAGACTCCGAGGTGGTTTAGAGACCCAAGGCACGATCTGCAATGCTGCTAATTAGGATCAGTGTTTAATTCAATCATACAAGTCCAAAGCGTGTACAGTAGTTTAACTGAAGCACTTATTTACTAGCATTCAGAATGTCACTTTTAACTAATGCACCTATTAAACCTTTTGCAGTGGTGATCCCACCTGTATTACCTCTGAAGAGAAACTGTAAAAGAGAATAATGAAGGTTTAGAGAAATTCCAATGCTTCTTCAGGATGAATAGTGGTGAGCGCTATTTTTTATGGATGTTTGGGTCAGTTTTCTGGACATGGATTAGCTTAGTCTGAGACCTGTCCACATTGATAGTGGCTATTTTCCACTGGAAATCATTTTTAGTCTAGCACTAGCTGCCATCTATGTGTGGAAAACCATCCCTTAGTGTTTTGCCATAATGGCGTTTTTTGTATCATCCCATGAGGATGTGACAGGGGTTTCAATCTGCTTGGAGGATCACATCTGTTATCACACAGTAAGACATCTGCTGATGGCGTGCAGTTTTGAGATATCTGCAGAAACAGAAAATTACATACCCCCTCAAAATGTGTAATCCCACACAAATAAGTCAACCATTATCAATCTGCCACCTGAGCTCAGTTTCACAAAGCAATTCAATATTTCCCATAATCATGATCAAGGGAACTTTAGTCGACCTTAAGTTATACCAGTAAGCATAAGCAAGAGGCTCTGAAGTTCTTGAGGATGTGTTTAATTTGTTTTTTTTTTCCCTTTTTACATTGTATGAAATGTAATGACACACCTCAATAGTCACTGTATGCTGCTCAGGTTTCAATTTCATATCAAGATGATTGACACGGTTTTGTATTTTAAATAGTAACAGTGAACAGACACAGTGCTGTGCATGACAAATACTCTGAGATTGAATGACAGCTTCTCAGTTATTCTCTTGATTTAATGAACCATCATCTGTTCTAAAGGTATTAAAGGATTTCAAGTGAAAGGCAGAGTCTCTCGAGCTACAGTACGAACACCTTTGGATTTCGCCTGCGTTTTTTAATCGTTCAGTAAGCTTATAAGCTATTTTAATATCCTAAGAGCATTTGGTCTTAATTGGTTTAGGGTGTCCTTTGAGGTTTTTCTGTTTCCATTTTCTGCATCGACCAACTATGGACCGGATAAAACCAGCCTTGATTGGCAGATCTGATTGGATGACTCATTCATCGCTTAACAAAGCGAAGCGCTTTCCACACAGGGTCTCCCCTTGACCTCCCCTGCCCACCCCTGTCAGTCCCATCTGAAGTCGTGTCCTACCATTTCGTAAAACTTTACATTGAAAGGCCTATAAAAGTCTCGCAGTTGCTCAATGACCTCCTGGTCGATCTGCACGTGCGTCCTGCCCTTGGACTTGCCGAGGCAGCGGGGAAGGCTGCTGCTCTCGGGCTTCTTCAGACAAGGGAAGCCTTTTGTTCGGTTGAAGTAGAAGTGCTTGTCCGTGATGATGCGTTTGAGGCCCAGGAAGTCCTGCACACGGCCCAGTTCGCCAGCCGGGTCTGTAATGAGCCGCTCCCCGCTCACAAAGTGGATCTGCGAGAGCCGGAAATATTGCAGCCAGTTCTCCAGGTGCAGGATGTACATGCCGATGCGGATAGCGTTCCACGAAGTGTCCACCACCCCCTGGCTCCTGTTCTTGAACGCTAGTTCCTCAAAGCTGGGGATGTCAGGCTTTTTGGACAGCGTCTGAGTGTAATCTGAGATGGCTCGTGTCACTGGGTTCCGCACCACCACGATGAGTTTGGTCTCATGGGACATGCTGGCGATGCGTCGCGGAGCCTCCCGTGTCACGAAGTAGCTCGGCGTTTTCTCCATGGTGATTTGGCTGTCCAGTGTGCGTGGCATTAGGCCTCTAGACGAAGATTGAGAAAAAAGACAAAGGTGAATGACACAGATATGTTTCTGTTTGAGCTACTGATCAGCCCCTTAATCCAGCAGCACTCATTCCTGGTCCTGGAAATCTACCCCCCTGGAGAGTTCAGATCCAACACACCTGGTTCTAACATTCTCATGCCCCTTCATTACCTGAATCAGGTGTGTTGGATTAGGGCTGGGTCTGAACTCTTTAGGGTAGTAGATCTTCCAGGCCAGGATTGGGCATCCCTGTCTTAACCCATAGGCTTAATATATTAATCTCAATCATTTAAAGCTGTGGTTATTGCCATCAATAACAAAAGCATGGTGTAATCTGATGTTTATCATTCCTCACTAGTATCTCATTGAAAGAAGCAGAAGAATTCTGACAAACGTTCAGATTCAAATCTCAATTATCGCCAGTGGAGATGCACTGGAGATGCATAAAATGTATATTCTTTACAGCCAATTTGACCAAGTACAGTTTTCTTTTTCTTGTTATCTTTTTATTTATTTTTTAATATTCAAAGCTCAGACTGCGTGAGCAAAGTGGTGAAAAAGAAAAAAGGGTACAAAACTGCCATTGGGGTGGTACTTTCAAGGGTACATCATTAGTACTTTTACTTAGGGAACATAATTAAACCATACTCCATTGCAAATATATTTAGGTTGCACTGACTGTATACACCTCATATTCACTACTGGCTTTTTATTTTAGGTGAAGTTAGGTTATGCTCCTTTCCCCTGCAGAAATGACATGTAGCATATCTTTAACTTGTGTTTAAGGTACACATTGCTCAATGCTGAAGAAAAATGTACCAGTATAGTACTTTTTTTTTCCTGACAGCATGCCAGTACTTTCTTTTAGCTCAAGTTTCAGCAAGAACTATTTGTTTTTTAACAGTTTTTTAAGTTCTTAAATGAAAAAGAATGGCAGCTGGCTATTTCAACCAATGGGTAATGCATAATTATGCTACAACATTTTGGTATACAGCACTCAAAAGCAGTCTTGGGACAATTTATATCTTGTCTATTGTTTACTTTCTAAGACAAATTTATCATTTATTAATTTGAATCCATCAGAAATTATATAATAACCAGCAATAACAACCACATTTACTGACTGAATCCTGCTAATTAACTAAAAATTTAGAGTAGAAAAATACTGAAACAATAGTAGGACAAATAATAGTGTCTCTTTGTGTAGGTCAGTATTGAATACTTCATTTAGGTCAGCTGCATATTCTATTTTTTGGATGACAGCTTCTTCTTCTAGGCACCGAGTGCACGAATTTGTACAACTTACCCCTAGTTAGGTTTGTTGATTTTCTCTTTTGGATGGCCAGAGCGGGGCAGGTTTTGAGTTTGTCTTGTGTTTTTCTACCCATTCAGTACATTTTTCTCCCTCAATTTTAGAATTTTCAATGTATCTGTAACCTTTCATACAGACATTTTATTATCAAGAGACAATATTTTTTTATCAGATGAATTCAACTAAATATTTCCTTAGCTTTCTAACTTTCTCCAAAAATGAATTCTTTCAGAAAATTAATGAAATTTAGATTTGGATTACTACCCCAACATTTGTTTTGAAATAAATAAGGGGATAGATGAATGTTTTCTAGCATGCTATAGTTTATTTGCACTCAAAGTACTGGCTGAGAAGTCATAATACAGCTGAAATGATACACATTTGAACATGGTAAAACACACTTTCCACACATTAACAAATTAAATAAAAAAAATAAACAATGATAGAAATGCTCCAAAACTACTTTGGAGCACTGTAAGTTTAACCGCAGCGCTATTATCTGGCTCATTTTATTTACATCATAAAACCACACAACAGATCAGCCGAAAACTAAATAATAAATTGGGTGATTGCTGATTGCTTGTTTGGGGAATAAACTAGCCAATTCATATCTTTCACCCCTAATTGCCATATCTGTGATCATAAGCACAAATAGAAACATTTTGTTCTGATTTAAATTGGGGAAATTCTACATTTTTGCCATGTTTTTGTTGTTGGTTGAAACCAAAACAAAGTCGAACAGGCAGATTCACAACTGTTTAAAGAATGTTAAGCAATTGAAACTGTAATTCATTGCAAAAGTCACTGTATTTATATGAATAAATATGTAATAACATTTCAATAGCAAAATAAAAAGAGACCCTCAACTTCTAAGGGTTAACACTAATTATTCATTAACTACCATGAAGCTAATGTGCAAGGCATGTAGTCATGAAAGCAAGGCACTGGTGTGCAGCCCACATACAGGTCCTTAGGTTTTTAAGGGGTTAATATAACAAGCACAGAAGAACTTTGAGGGCTATTAAGAATGCGTGTAGGCTATCTGATCAAAAATGACACTTTATCACATTCTTGCCATCACATACTTCTTCACATTTCACATCACACTTCAGGCTGAGCTGTGAAACACCACTTCTTAACAAGTGACTTACAACAGACTGGAGCTAACACATTCATACAATTCAGACATTCCAAAGCAACACCTCATCTCAGCGTGTCCTCTGAGGTAGGTATTAGATAAGAATGAGCTGCGGTCATTTATTTCATTTGCTAATCCCAAACATATATTTCAGCCAATATGTGAAATAATATGGAGAATTCAGTCTGCAATCGTTTTACCAGAAGTGGATTTTGCAAAAGAACAGAGCTATCCACAGCTTCTCCGGAATGAAGTAATTACCCTGGCCAATATTCCTGATGAAGGGGTAAAAATAACACTGACATTTTCCACTTGGAGCTTTATTTAGAGAAGAAAAATGAAGAGGATGGGGTAAAATGGTCAATGCACGTAGGTGCAAGTCTCAAAGTGACAAATCATGATTCTGTTACAGTCACAAAATCAACACACACACACACACACACACACACACACACACACACACACAGAAGCTTTTAATACTTTCAGCCAATATTTCCAGTCCCTTATCTCCCGAGTGAGTTTGATGCTGAAGGGCATGGGGGAAATTATCAAATCTCAGCCACATCCTGCACTCCTGGTCATAAATCACCATCACCTGCATTACGGATGCACAATGGAGGAAAAGGCTTTGGGAAATCTAGGACACGTGAAATAGGTCATTATTTTCACAAGTTTTCCTCGAGAAAATCGTCAAATCCTCCAACTTCAGAGTTGTTCTGACTTGAACTTGTGAACTACATAAGGAGAAATCCAATCAGTCATGGTGGGTCTTTTGTTGTAAGAACCGATCCGCTGTTCTTTTTTCCCCACAGAGTAGTAATCCTTTGGCAATGTTCTAGCACAGCAGTGACATCCAGTAGTTTGTTAAAACATTAATTGCCTTGACAGGGCATTGCAGGCCTTTGTGTATCTCAATACGAAATGCTGTTCACTGATATTATTACGGTTTTCTGAAGACTTTATTGTAGACAAATCCATGTGTAGGAATACATCACTCAACAAAGGCACTGAGTTTGTGTGGGTGTGGTGGGGGGTGGGGTCATTGGCACTCCCAAAACTAGATGTAGGGGCAATGCGACCCAATCCCAATGCAAAGATAGAGAAAAGCCATAATAGTGGAAATGTCTAAAACAGTCAGAAAACAGCAACAACAGTTAACAGATTGAAAAAATTGGGCATTTTGAGCATCAATGTCAGCTGGGACAGCTACAGCGTCTGAAAAACATTGTGCTGTTTTACTGCAGGAAACTGACTCGCTGCTTCCTGCTGTCATATTATCACACCTGATGTTGTCCTGATGAGGAGTTAATTTTGCATCTTTTATTGTTCTAAATTAGAATTTTATTTTTAGTTGATAAACAATAATCCTTTAAATAAAATTCAGAGCATATTTTTCAGACACATTAATAATTTTCCCATTTTTCTGTTAGAAACAGCTGTGCAATATGATCAAATTGACTTCATTATGCCTTATGCCTGTTCAACAACTGTCCTCGTGAAATGGTAGCTCCTTCCTCCCCACCACCACAAATTGGGTCCCTGGCTGGTTGCCCAGGGGTAGGCTCCGCCCCCTGCCATCTAAATGTCAAGATCAGCGAGGGTTTCGATGCTCCAAGACCTGGACCAAGGATGGGGCCTATGCCAAGGACTCTTTAATTTCCATTGAATTGTTATATTTCAATTTGTGAAATCCCATCAAGAAAATAAATTTGTCCTCCTTCACTCTTGCCTCCTGAGTCTTTCTGGCAGAACATATATATTCCTGCAGAGTTTAGTTCCAATCTGTGTCTAACATGCTGCCCTCTCCCCATACCTACACTAATGCATCTGAAGTAGCCAATTAAGAACTACTGAAGAAGTTAATCAGCTGGTGCAGGAGTGGCAGACTGTGGTTCGAACTACAGTCCTAGGAAGGCAGAATTCCAGCATCAGGGTGTGTGACCACAGCTTTAGATTTTTCTAATGGATTTTATCTTTGTTTCTATCTTTGTTAGCTAATTACAGAAACCAGTCATCAAAAGTGATTGCAGTATACTTTCTATTACTCTCTTTGTTGCTGGATGACTTTGATTCCTGCTGCTATGGTGTCAAGGAAGTTTTTCTGATTACTGCAGCTGTCCCTAAAACTGGTGATACTTCCAGGGAACAGTGTAAAATAGTAAATGTTGGTATGACACTAAAATTGAGAGCTGTATTAAACATCTAGCCAGTTTTAAAAGGAAAAAAGATAGAAACCACTGAGATCTGTCTGTGTGTGGCCTAATGTTTAAATGACCATGCATGATCAATATCCTTCTGTCGTCTATTATGTGACAAGTGAGGCTGCTTACACAAGCTTCACCCAAGATCAGGACGGCTCAGTTTACATCGAAAGGGGACCCATTTTGCAAAAATAAGTAATGTCATTTTCTGAACACTGGCTAATTTCTATGGCTCAAAATAAAAGCGAAGGTAAAAAGAAGGGACATCTCACCTCTAATGCTCTTAATCTTTCACTTTCTGAACTAACATAGAGCCTAAACATACTCAGAGGAGAAAGCTAAGCTTT